AAAAAAAAAAAAAAAAAGTTATATGACTAGAAAGGGACTGAGATACTTTTTGTCTCATGACATCGAAAGAATAGTCCTTAGACTGACTATAAAGTTACAGGTAGCTATTGAGAACAGTAGTTTCCAAACTATCTTTTTGCTGGAAGTGGTGGCACCTATAATTCTTATGCTTGGGAGGCTGAGGCAGGAGGATCACTTAGAATTAGAGGCCAGCCTAGCTACAGAGTGAGTTCAAGGCCAATCTGAACTACATAGTGAGACCCTGTCTCAAAAAGCAAAAGCAAACAAACAAACAAACAAAAAAAACCCCTCTCTTGCCAAGTTTTCAACTGACCTCATAGGGAGGACTTTGGTTACCAATCCAGAGGCTGACAGCAGCCCTGGGGAAAACATGGGGATGCTCAATCCCTTGTTTATTTTTTTTTGGTGGAACCAGGGATTGAACTCAGATCCTTGCTTTTGCCAGTCAAGCGCTTATCCTACTGAGCCATCTCCCCGGCCCCTCAATCCCTTGTTTCTTTGCACTGCCTTTCCGGGATGCTGGAGGAGGCCAGTTGTGTTCAACTCCCTTTGGTTCCAGATAACTCCTGAGGACTATGAGAAGCTTGGCTTCCCTGGAGCCCGTGACCTGGCTAACATGTTCCGTTTCTATGCCCTGAACCCTGACCGCAACATCGAGCTGACCCTACGTCTCAACCCCAAGGCCCAGACACTGGACCAGTGGCTGGAACAGCACAAAGGGGACTTCACCCAGCTCTGACCTCCACTTTACAGCCCTGGGCCAGGAGACAGGAGATCCAGATGCACACACAATCATCCTTTCTTGTGTACAGAAATTGTTTTTTGAAATAAAGCCTTTGTTCCCCCAGATGACTTCCGAAAGAAAAGGGCTCTGTTTCTGTGGGATAGGGTGGCAGCTTCTGGGACATGAATCACATGAAAATTTCAGAAGGCACAGAAAGGCTAAGATGGGTGCCTAGCCTCTCTTTCCCCAGTAAAGGGGGCAGGAAGGTGGAGAAGAGGCTGAATAGGTCATTTCATAAAGTCATGATGAACATGTTTAGTGAACTATGAAATGGGAGTGCCCACCCTGTGCTTATAGGACACTGATGGTGAACCTTTTATAGCTTGCAGTGATAAACAGTCTGCTGAGGGCAATGTGTCATAGGCTTGCCACCACTGCTGTAGGAGCACCTGTGACCAGCACATGCCCATTTTCATTCTGCTTGAAATCCATACACACAAGCCAGGTTACAGGGCACATGCGAGGCCAATGGCTGCCAGCAACAGTGCTTCTGAAATCTCTGTGCCCCATTCATTGCCAGCGCCAGTTAGGGTACCTGCACATTTGATGAGTTGGGGCAAGACTCGGGATAGACCTGAGAGGAAGATGATCTTCCTTTTCCCTTCACCCTGTGTGTGGCCAGCTGTATCCAACCTTCAAAATAAGTACCAGAAAAAAATGAACAAAGCTATGGCATTGAACAGGGTGCTGGTGATGAGGTGATGTGCCCTGTGACAGAGGCTGCTCTGGTGGGTCAGCCCTTCAGCTCCACCGCTTTTGAGGTAAGTGATGGAAACTCAGAGGTCACAAGTCCCTGAGATTCTATAACAGTATATGAATTGTTCATTTGTATATGGGTTTGTGTAGCTGTCATACTGTCTTTGCTGCGGTACCCTTGCCTCCAACCCTTCCAGGCATGAAATGGCCTGGTAGCACATCTGCTCTATAAATCAACTGGGGCATTTCTTCAGCCCAAATTTACCGGTGTGCTGAGCATGGGCAACAATGTTAACATAAATTATGCTCTCTGCCTCAGCAAGCTTATCTAGTGGAAAAGCCAGATGGAAACAGGCAAAGAATTACATCAGCAAGGCATAGTGGCACATGCCTATAATTCTAGCACTTGGGAAGCTAAGGCAGGAGAACTGCAATTTTGCTAGCCTGAATTCTACTTAGTGAGAAACCCTGTCTCCTTGCCCCTAGAAAAGGTTACAAACTGACATCAGGGCTGAAAAGTGCAAAAGAGCTGAGAGGTGAGTTGGGGATGGGACTCAGGTTCAGTGGGAGACCCTGTGCACAAAATATGAATTTGAAACGCAGCATTGTTTGGGTGGGAACAGGAACAACTTTAGGCAGGAGAGTTATGCTGAGGTCTACAGGCAAGGGCAGAAGCCTTCTAGGTCAGGTAGGAGGGAAAGACAGTGACGTGTGGTCTCTCAAACCCAACTGGGTCAACAATAGGATATAAACCTGTGAGATAGCTCAGTGACATAAGAGCCTGCCTGGCAAGTGGAAGGTCCTGAGTTTAATCTCTGATACTGAAAAAAAAAAAAAAAAAAAAAAGTGAGAAGGTCATCATCTATGTCTAATCCTCTATGAAAGTCCCTTTAAAATTCTTAGCTCAGGGCTGGTGAGATGGCTCAGTGGTCTAAAGCACCTACTTAGAACAAGCTTGGTAAAGCATGGGGACCACGGTTCAATCCCCCAGCACCACGTGCCAGCCAGCCCCGCCCCCTGGTGGGCTGAGCTGGCTACACACACACACACACACACACACACACACACACACAATTAAAAAAAATAAAATTCTTAGCTAAAGAAGTGTAGTTTTCTTTTGACAATTTAGAAACGTGATTTATAATATTGTGTTGATAACTGCACATATTTTATTAGAATGTGCCAATAGATAATGGAATTCAGCAGCGTTCATTAAACACTTTCCAGCTCCTGTCATTTACCACTTCAACATTCAGTTCTGACTGCATCCATTTCAACTTTGTCTGCTCATTTCTAAGTTGCTTTAATAACGTTAAATCATCCAAATTCTTTTCTCTCTCTTCTCAGAGGTTTTTTTTCTACTGCTGAGGTCTGGGCTATACAATTTTTTATGACTCTGTCCTTACTGGTATGAGCTGCCATCAAAGACTCATACAGTTGTTTACAGGTTTGACTGGTGTCAATTTTCCCTGCAAAGTAAGCTGTTGGAACCGTAGTGTTTAATTCATGTACTATTCTGTCATCAACTGTTCTCATCACCTTGAGTAATTCCTGGAAGTTGGCGTACTCCTCGCAGTTCACACTGCCACTGGGCACCGCCATATTGGACCCCTACTAATATTTTAGCAAATGCTATACATCCACCTACCTTCCTCCCTATTCTCAATCCCCAGTCAGGGATCTACAGATAGCCTCCACCTATCCCCAGTTCTGGGCATTGAACCCAGGGCCTTTGCACTGAACCTTATCCTCAGCACCTCTGATTTTTTATTTTGGGACAGGGTCTTGCTAAGTCACTCAGGTGGGCTCAAACTTGCAGTCCTCCTACCTCAGACTTGTAGAGATCACAGTACTGTACCATAATATGTCTAACCCTACTATTTTTTTTTTTTTTTTTAATGTATTTAGTATCAGGTCTACAGGATCTCACTAGTAGATTGGATTCAGTGATCATCCTGTTTTCAGCCTCCCAAGTGCTGGCAATACAGGCACTCGTCACCACACCTAGTCTCAATTGCTGTCTCAGCACACCCCAGGGGCGGGGTCGGCATGGTACACTGGGGATTGAAACCCAACCACAGTGTTCTGCCTAAGCAGGTGCTTTAATCCACTGAGCCATTTGGCCAGCCCTACTTTTGTTTTTTGTTTTTTGTTTTTTTTTTTTTAAATCTTTTTTTATTTTTTAACATTTATTTATTTATTTATTGTGTGTGTGGCCAGCTCAGCCTACCAGGGGGCGGGGCTGGCTGGCATGTGGTGCTGGGGGATCGAACCGCAGTCCCTGTGCTTTACCAAGCTTGTTCCAAGTAGGTGTGTTAGACCACTGAGCCATCTCGCCAGCCCAAACACAAATTTTTTTTTTTTGGCAGAACCAGGGATTGAACTCAGGCCCTTGTGCTTGCCAGGGAAGCACTTATTCCACTGAGCCATCTCCCTGGCCCCCCTACTTTTGTTTTTCTGTTTTTCATTTTTACATAGACTATCTTGCACCTGAGCCCTAACTCAGTGGTACACAGTCATTTGGACCCATGTGTGGCTATATGCTAAACCCAAGCCTGGAAGCAGCAATTAATTCTGCACCTGCTGCATACCCACATTCCCTCCTAAAAAGGTTTCAGCACATCCATGTGTCTCCTGCCTGAAAATCCACCTTCTTTCAAAATCTCTCTCTGGACTTTCCCAGGACAGGGTGTGACTTGGATGCCTTCTCCAGGAATAAATCTAGACTTTCCTGAGACAGTGCCCAGCCTTCTTCCCATACCTTGCTTACAGCCCAAGGCTTAGCAGTGGCTAGCCACATTGTATGTTCAGAGCAGACAGGCAATACTTTGCTGATGAAATACGAGGAAGAACCTCAAGGACACAGAATGTCACTACTGAGCTTCTCTACCCATTCGCCCTTCCTCAATCTCATTTTCACTCAGCAGAGTGAACCATTTATACTTCACCCTGTTCATCTCAAAAAACTGGGATTGGGGCCGGGGAGATGGCTCAGTGGAATAATCGCTTCCCTGGCAAGCGCAAGGATCTGAGTTCAATCCCCAGTTCCGCAAAAAAAAAAAAAAAAAAAAAAAAGAATACAGTATGAGAGGCCAGGGAGATGGCCCAGTAGAATAAGCACTTCGCTGGCAAATGCAAGGGCCTGAGTTCAATCTCTGGTTCTGCCAAAAACAAAAAACAAAAAACATAGTATGTATGGACTCCTACTGAGCTCATCCATATTTCTCAACATAGGTTCTCAGATGAAGTTAACTAGTTTCTGGAACATTCGCTCCCATCAGCACACAGTCTCACAGCAAGCCTCCTCTTGCCCTAGGAATAGGACAATGCAGGTCAGCACTGTTGATGTCCAGGATCCACCTGGATGAAACCAGCTGCCTCTCTAGTCACCCCCAGCTGCATGACCTTTTTCAAAGAAGAAAGGACCACAGTTTAGGTTTTAAATATCTTTTGCAGAAGATAATCTTATTTACATTGATATAGAATCATTTTACATACTTAGATGCTAATTAATCTTTAATTTGTAAATTATAAAGAAAAACAAAAAGAAAACTACTAAGAAATGTTCTTCATTAATCTGTCCTACACTAGCAAGGACTGTGAATCACATGGAAATTCTAATGTGCTACTAGCAGATGCTGCAGCCAGGGCATTTGCCCTGGCTGCATTGTGGGGACTCTTCACTGGCATAGACTGTTTTCCTCTCTTGCACACACACTTACACAAGAGAAAACTATGATTCTTAGCACTGAGTAATGTAAACATGCATTGAAAAATACATGTTAACAGTGCAGGTGGTAAAAGCCAAGATGCTGGCTGGCATGGCTTCGAGTTCCTGCAGTAACTGTTGTCTCCACAACATGGCCCAGTGGCTGTGGCTCAGAAGTGCAGAGCTCTACCATACTCAGCTAGAATCATAGAATTCAAAAGTTGGGGCTGGCTGCTATTGGCATGGAGTAGAAGAAATGGTCTTCCAGGGACCCCGTGGGCCTTTCAGTGCCTGCCTCCCCAGGCACTAGCACAATGCTCCAGCTACTTGGGACCTTGGGGAATTAAAAAAACAAACTCCAGAGAGAAGCCTGAGCAGAGTGTGTTGGAGGAAGACAGCTCTAATGAGGTGTATAACCCCATTCCTGATGAAGGAGTTGACCTATCTGGAAGAACTCACTTCAGGATCTCCTAGAGATTTGTTGAGAAGAAAACGAATCACCTCACACCTCAGTGCAGTTAAGGCTTCATTTTAAGCTGAAAGCATGGCCTTTAATTCTTAAGCTCTCCACCACATTTGATTCCAAACTATAGTTTTAGTGCTATAAGAAGTGTCCAGCCGTCTTACCCTGCCTGAGTCAGAAGAGGTGTGTCACCTATCCACGAACAGGAATTTTCCACCAGTACTCTGGTGCTACATTTACTGCCCAGAGGCTGTCTACTGTAACCTTCTTGCACAGAGATGTGCTATCACGTTGTTTTGCTCTTTCCTGGTGGTTGAGAAGGCTCTGCGGGCAGGGGCTCAGTGCTGCTGCTCTGGAATCCAGTCTCTGAGGCCTGTCCATAAGGAAGGATTGTTGCTCCCAGCCTAGTTTCCAGTGGATCGTTTTCCTGAGCCAAGGAGAAAAACAGTTACGTTTCACATCCCAGTGGGAGGGCTTCCACTAATCCCTAACCCTGGAGAGTGGCTGTGCCAGAGACAGGGTCAAAAGCCCTAACACCAGGAGCAAGCACAAACAGGACACCACAGTACACAAGCACTACCCTGAGCAGCCCCCAAAGTTTGTAACGCTACCCTGCTTAAGCAGGTGGAAAGTTACAAAGCAGGCAAGTGGTAGAGGAGATCTGAGTTCTAGGCCCAGGTCTGCCACAGTTTTTCCTGTGACCGTAGGCAAGCTGGTCCCATCATTTTGGAAAGCCACTGGGAACTGGTATAAGGAGGGCTTTGAGGCAGGAAGAAATCTGAACCAAGTTCAGATCCAAGAGGCTGGCCACTGTAGCCTAGTCCAGCATCATACTGGCTGATGGTCCACACTCTGCTTCTAAGGGCTGAAAGGATGCCAGGCTTACCACAGCTTTGAATGGCACCTCTTCCAACTCCTGGGATGGGGTGGGGTAGGGTAGGTATGATGATGGTTAAAGTGGGAGAAAACAGGATTAGTTCATATAGGGAAACAAAGGGAAGAGGCCTCACAAGTTTTCCTACCTCGGCTGAGATATCAGGAGGTAAACATTTTCTTAAGTTTGGAAAGGAATCCCTCGTCCTCCCCAGCCTCAGGCCTAGCCTTGCTTCCTGTGGAGCTATCCATGGTTCTGCCACCTGGGCACAAACAGCGGAAAGAACCAGGGTCAGGGGCACACACCTCCATCCATCACTTCTCCGCCCCAACCTACACATATCAGGCAGCCCAAGGCCTAAGCACTCAAGGAGCAACCAAGCTCCACCTTAAGAAGAGAAGGAGCCATTTCCAAGTTGGCAAAGGGTGCCTCACTTGTCACTGAAGCAACTGGGCCACTCAAGAGTCTTATGGTGTCCCAAGTGTTTAAGTCAGGGGTCTACAGTGAGGAAATGAAACAGACAAACAATTACCAGCTGTCCCTAAACAAGAGTCACAAAAACAAGAGCTATAAGCTACATTCCTTCCAGGCAAGCCACACAGTTGTCAAACGTTGCCTCATCTAGTCCTTAGTTTTACCTTATGAGTAAATTTCATAGATGGGGAAAAATAATAGGGAAAAAACACAGAGAAGTTAGGTGATTTACTTGAGATCCCAGAGCCAGCAAACAGGAGGCAGAACTGAGTTCAAACCTAGGCTTCTAACCACTATACTACTGGGTATAAGATAAAATGAACATCAAGGTAAGAGCTCATCTTTACACCGACTAACCAGATTCTGTACTGTACACGTATACACATGACATGCCCAAGATACCCAAGAGAGACCCATGGCACTGAGTAGGGAAATTGTTCAGTCACTGACCTGTACACTCAGAGCTCAACTGTGTCCTCACAGAAGGACTTGCTTAATGAGATCTAGTTAATCACTTAACACAAGTAGACCACATCCAAACTTCAGGGCTCCACAGATAAGGACCAGGCCTTGCACAGTACACTGCAGCACCCTCCCTCATTTTTTCACATCCTCTTTTCTTACAGAAAGGTCCTTCCTAACAAGTCTACAAATCACGTTTCCATAACCTGTGGGCCTCGTAAGACAAGGGAGAGCATGCATTTTGAATTTTGTTATGTCCTTGCTAAACAGATGGCAAATCACATGCTATGCTGGAGTGCATCACATCACATCACACCATCAGTTATCACTGGTAGAGCTTCTAACATATGCCAGACACCATGCCACGGGCTTTACCATTTGAACTCATTTAATCACACAGAAACCCTGTAAGATAATGATGCTATTATCTTGAATTTACAGATAAAATTGACGTTTGGAGAAATTAAGTCATTTGCTTAAAGCTTTACAGCCAATAATGGTGGAACTGGAACATGAATCATCTGATAATCAGAACCCAAACTCCTAACTAATTCAAGTGGGGCACAAAAACACTTAGCAACTCTTATCTCTCTCCTTCCTTAACTCTGATATTGTCACCCAAAGGAGAAGCTAGAGGTGAACAATCAGTACTCTAGAATATCTAGGCTCACTTCTTCACTAATTCAGAAAATACTAAAAAAGCTGGTGTGGTAGCACAGGCTTATAATGTTAGCACTCTAGGAGGCTGAGGCAATAAGATCCCAAGTTCAAGACCAGCTTATATAAAGTCGTTCCTAGCAAGGCCCACCCATTCAGTAGAACAACAGAAACAGGAAGAAGAGAAGGAAAGAGGAAAAGGAAAAGAAGGAAGAGGAGGAGAAGGCAGAAGAGAAGAATTCCAGATGTGTATCACACACCTATAATCCCAGCACTCATAAGGCTGAGGCAGGAAGATCACTGTAAGTTCAAGGTCTGCCTGAATTATACAGCAAGACCCTGTCTCAAAAGAAAACAAAACAAAATGAAGGAGAAAGAGGAGGAGAAAAGAAAAGTGGAAGAAAAACAATAAAAAGAACAAAATAGGAAAGTTTTTGCTCCCAATCATTAAAATAAGTGTCATTGGGGCTGGAGAAATAGCTCAGTAGCTGGAGAAATAGCTCTTGGTGGCCAGTTCAGTATGCCCAGGGGTGGGGCTAGCATGGCATGTGGTGCTGGAGATCAACCCCAGTCCCTTTGCTTGCCCAAGCAGGCACTTAGTCTGCTGAGCTATCTCGCCAGCCCCAGACAGGATTTGTAATGGGTGTAATCGTTTTTTTTAGAGGATTTCTGACCTTCCGTCCAGAACAGAACTTAAATTCCACCAAAAATGACTGCTGCTGCTGGGACTTCCATTTCTGCCTCTGCCTCTAGGACCAAACTCCATGACCAAAGCCTCCACTTTGTTTGAAAAGCTACCTCCAGCTTTGAACACCTGCTATGAATTATCATACACTATTCTAAGGCAATTCCAGTTCTGACAACTTGATTCATGATCCTGAAAATAACAAAAATGATTCAAAGAGGAAGAAACATGCAGCCTGAGCTAATGACTTCCTGGGCACAGCTTGTCTTGACCTGTAAGGTCCCAATCAGGAGTCCCTCTCTTCCCACAAGATAAGGAACTGCACTGGCAGGCCAAAGCCCCCGCCAGCAGGTATGCAGATATCAAATCAACAATATTCAACTACAGTCTTCCAACAAAGCATGGCATATGACCTCAGGTAAGTAGCACATTTGTTCACTGCAGGATAAATTCAAGGTTAATTTGCTCTAAAAGGCAGATTTGAGTCCTCTGACTGACAGGGTTTAAATGCTGTGGTTACTGTGTATCAGACACTGCAATCCTGCCAAAGTGTTCAGGGCCAGGAATACACAAATCTCTCTAGTTCCTGTCCTTCTTAAATTATTACATGGAACTCACAGCAGAGAAATGCCCAAGGTCACGAGGCAAGTGGCAGAACCAAGGCTAGAACTCAGAACACCAGCTCTGAGACACACAGAGCTGCCTGACAGGAAGCACCCCAGCACTTTTCTCAGCACACAGATGCATGCAGAGAAAGAAAAAGAGCTATAACTGGGGGCTGCTGCTCCACACCAGCTGTTCCTAGCTCCAGCTCCATGCTTTCAACAGTACTTTTTGGGACTTCATCAAGATCCCCAAGTAGAAATCCCCACTGCTCCAAACTATCTCCCTTCCAAAAGACTTATAGGCCCCGCTGTGCAGCCATGACATCTCCAAGTCCCTTACCTGTGCTTGTGTGGGTGACACCATTCACTGTTCCCTCCACATCAGTCTCATCCTCTGCGTAGCTCAGGATCAGGCTCTGCTGCCGGCTTGTCAGTCTCCTGTGGAGCGAGCACAGTTAGCAGCTGGCACTTCTTTGGGGCAGCTCTTCCACAGATAAGCATGCTGTAGCCAAGAACTTCAGTGTGTTGGAAAGTGGGCACCCAACTTGGAAGGGTACACACATTATTAACTTGAGGTCTCCCCCTCAAACTCCTATAAAGAGCCCCCAGACCAGGTGTGGTGGCTCACACTTGTAATCTCAGCGCTGGGGAGGCTGAAACAGGCGGATCACTATGAGTCTGGGCTGCATAGTGAGACCCTGTACCAAATACATAAATTAAAAAAAAAAAAAGGAGAGGAGGAGGAGGAAGAGTAGGAAGAGAAGGAGAAGGAAGAAGAAGAGGAGGAGGAAGAAGAAGAAGAGGAAGAGGAAGAAGGGCTCCCAGTCTAGCATAGTGGTACATGCTTGTAATACCTGTACTCTGAGAGGCCAAGGTAGGAGGATCATAATTTGCAGCCTAGAATAGCTAGGCAACATAATAACAGATTTTTTTTTTTAAACAGGGTCTCACTATGCAGTTCAGGCTGGCTTGAACTCTCTCTGTAGCCCAAGCTGGCCTTGAACCCACATGATCCTCCAGTCTCTGCTTCCCAAGTGCTGGGATTACAGGCATGAGCCACCATGCCCAGCATGACATAGACTTTGTCTCAAAATAAAAAATGAAAAGGGCTGGGAAATCTGGGTGTGGCAGCACACAGGGTGCCCACAGCACATTGCCCTTAAGACAGCACACGCAAGCTAGGTATGGTGGCATATGCCTGTCACTCCAGCACTCAGAATGCTGAGGCAGGAGGATTACTAAGGACTTGAGGCCAGTCTGAGCTACCCAGTGAGTTCAAAATCAACCTGAACTATATACCAAAATTCTGTCTCAACAAAGAAAAAAAAGGGGGCCAAGGATATAGTTCAGCAGCATAAGTGTCTGCCTGGCAAGCTCAAAGTTCTGAGTTTGATCCTTGGCATCATACATACACACACACACACACACAAAAAAAAAAAAAAAAAAAAAAAATAAAAAAAAA